GCCTAAACTCAAAATGATAGTTAGGTAGAATAGCATAGAGGGAGTCACATGAGTCATGTGGGTGTGTGGTACTACTATTGGTGGAGGTTTGTCGCATGATAATTTACATGTGAGAATCAGTTAAACCATGTGAATCCTTGCTACATTTATGATCATATATAACACTTGTATTTTATTAAGATTAAACACACCTAAAAATCTAAGAAAAATATCAATTAATTAATAAAAAATATGGCAGACAATTAAAAATGATGGTATTGGCTATTGGTTCCTCCCATCAGTAAACCGACAAGGATGGTGGAAGGTGATATCTGGATGTGTATCTTCCACTGCTGAATTGCTGTCATAGTCATACTTAGTTCTTATGAACCCCATCTATCTGGTACATCAAGTGCTTACTTTTTCAGATCGTGGGTGAATGAGACAATCCACAATCATTGGTATCATGCAGTCCAATCTGACTGTTTGACAGTTGTTGACAACATCTACTAGATCTTTATTATGCAACTGCTTTAGATGTGAAGTTTGTGGGACATTGCACCATTATCTCAAGTGATCATATATTGCTTTCTTTGAACTTGGAATCTATGAACTGCATAGTTTCTCATAGAACATATAAAAAAAGAACATTTTTCTTATAATCCAGAACTAGAGATTTTTAAGCTCAAAGATTATTTACAAATAGTAAGCATATACTTATTTTTATTCTGATCCTTATGTTATTTTTATTTATTCAGTATCACCAAATATCTGTGAAGCGGGTAAAGAATGTCCTTGTGATAGTGATGAGAATTGTCCTGAAGGGGAAAAATGTGTTGGTGGAAACTGCATAGGTTAGTATTTTATATATAGCTGTGAGAATTTGAGTTTGTAAATATGTGTGATTATTTCTTCTAATATGACCAGAACAATTTGTTTATTACTCAACTATTTTTTAAAAGTGTATTTTATAATTTTTACAAGCAAATTATCAAGGAAATTAAACTTTATGCATCAAATTGAATATATTTTATACACACTGAACCATAATTTGGAATGACTTCATTTATATAGCTATAATAGAGTTTTTATTATTGCATTTCCATATCTGCAGATTACTAATTGGATACATATTTATTTTGGATATAGTGTCAGTGTAAGTAACTTATCATAGCATACAGATTTGCAGAGATTGCCTTTAATTACAAACTAATATTGCTCATTGCTGACATGCATATATATCTAATTATAGTTTTTCTAACTACTGTTACAATTATGAGGAAGAAATCTTTTGGAATGCTGAATAGAATATGTATTTATGTGCTGTAAATCTAATTTTTCTAGAAAAGAAGTATTAATTGTATGAATCAAAAACAAATAAATTCTTTATAAAATCTGTAAGCTCTTAGAACAGATGAACAAGTTGACCTGTGAGTTTAAAGGAAATATCAATATAGAATATTTATTTACAAAATCTGAGTCAATTACAATTGGTAGAATACAACACAAGTAATTTTTTAGGTCATTGTTGATGTTATTTCAAATTAATAGTGTGTTGTATTAATGATATTTATATTTTTAGATTTCACCTCATGATCACACCAGTAAGAATACCAAATTTTTACAATTGAAATTTTTAATTTGCTCAAATAGTACATACTTATCTGTAAAAGTTATTGGCTGTGAAAATTATGTATTATAGATGATTAAAAATTGTATCATTAGTCAAATTGTGTTCATATAACTGGAATTAGGTTTACATAAAAGATTTAAGTTTTAATTATACTGAAATATATTGAATCAAAGACTAAATGTGTTTTTTCATCATATGAGCAGTAGCTTTCCTATTTTTACTGTCTATGCAGACATATGAAAAATTTATATATGGATCTGGGAATGATATACACTGCACAAAATAATTAAAGGAGGATTGAAATTCATAATATTATAGGTGTCATGAGGCAAAATCTTCTATAAAAAATGTCAATCATGCCTATTTTCATTGTTATGCAAATCAGACATCTGATGACCAGCTATATGATCTAAAATGCAAATGGTTGAATATTGAGCTTTTGCTTTATATAGCGACCTCATATAACCTTGTCTTAGTTGTTCCTTTGAAGTGAATCTCAGTTTAAAGTACTCCAGGTTTTTCTTGAACCAAAAACCATACCTCGAAAAAGATATTTGAATATTTTGTTTAGATGAAGGTTCATCAGACAAGTGGAAGCAAGCTAATCACAGTAATCTTTTGAAAATTGGTGACCCTAAACAAGGGAAATCATTATCTACAACACAAGCCAATGACTGCCATCGCTGCAATTGTAGTATATCTGCTTCCAGGTTGAATCAAATATTTGCAGTCACAACTAGAGATGATTAGAAGCAGACTTTACAAGGCCAGCTTCCCTGTTTAGTGCCCAGTGAGATGCATTATACCCATAGCAAGGCAAAAACAGCTCACCTGCAATGATGACAAGAACATGTATAGTATAATGAATCACTTTTGTTTATATAACAGGCAGTTACCATCCATTCAACAAAGTTTCATCATGTCTAGTGAACCTTGAACAAGTGGAGCAACATTCTTTTCAAATGTGGTAACATTTCATCTTGCATCCCAATAACATGTATATATTTTCTTATTTGGAGAAAATTTTAAACAACTCCAAAAACATTACGATACAGGAACAAAAAAAATATATTGTGGGCAGTAATGAACACTGATGAGTGCATAAGCCTATACATCCTGTAGAATGGTAATGTCACACATCATCAGGACTACATCCTGTCACATACTGTGCTGCCATATGATGGCGAAATTTGACCTGACTTCAGTCTAATAAATGGTAATGCCATCCCATTCTTTGCTAAACTGGTCAACACATTCCTTGAAGAACAGGAGATATACTAAATAATATGACTCATATGGTTATCAAATTTCAGTTCCATCAACCATGTATGAAATGCTTTTGGAAGACTTGTTGGTTCCAACCAATTGACACTTAGACACTAAAATTCCCGTGAAGATAATTATTTTCAGTAAAGTGATGAAGAACTCCTCAGAACCTCATCAAAACTGATTTTGAGCTTGCAACAATAGTTTGATTTTTATTTCTATATTTTTGTCTAAATATAATAAAATACTGTTCTTATGGTCTCATCCTAGGAATACTTTTTCTGTATCAGCTAGTCCCTTAGAAAACTAAAACAATTTACAATTAAATACACTTCAGAATTTCTTGTAACTTTATTTAGTCAACATGCATCTGATATTTTATTGTGTAAAGATCTACTGAACAATAAGCTATGATTGGCAATAAGATTATTACTCAAGTTTATGACACATACATGTGTTTCTTCATGTGCAGTTCAGTGTGAATAAACCATGTTCCTACTTATTTTATGATTCAGTCCAAACCTGGTTGATGAAGCATCCATGAAGTACTAAATTACGTGAATGTGTTACAAATGAAATAGACTAATCAACAACTTATATACTGAAACACAAAATGAGAGACACCCAAATATTTTATTTACAGTTTACATCTAAGTCGTGAAATACTAATGTTAAACAAACATAGAAAACATAACCTATAAGATAAGGCATCATCCTGTCATTTACAAAACAGCAGATATATTATTCAATTAGATAGTTATCTTGTGAGGGATACTTGCAAGGACTAATAACTCATACTACTTAGTACTTGAACAATGAACACGTATTGAAAAATACCATGCATTAACCTTGTTATTTGTGTTAATTTGTTAATCTAAACAATTAAAATTTTATTGATGTATACCATGTAAATTTTAGATTGAGATTAACTAACATTGCAGACAACTACAATGTATACTGAATATAATATAAAAAAAAACAATTACATTTACATAACTATACAATTACACTATCACTATAATTACAGAGCAATCAATAATGGTTTTGAGGCCATAGTGTTGCACATCCTAATCGTGTAATAGTCCCTTGTATTTTTGATATAGTTTTAAAAATAATTAATGTTGATATTTTTAATATTACTGTATATGAGATCACTTTTATTTTTTTGAAATAACTTAGATAGCTGTGAAGGAGTTGTTTGTGGTCCTAATGCACATTGTACAAATAGTACATGCTATTGTGATGAACTAATGACTGGTGATCCCAATGATATACTCATCGGATGTACTCGTAAGTTTTTACCTATGCTTGCTTTGTATGGAACAGCATTTTATTGCGTTATGTGAAGTAGTGCAAATAGTTTTTGGTATTTTATCCAAACATATAAATGTTTTAAAAGGACCAAGAAAGTTTATTTATCAATCATTAATTGCAACATGTATATATTCTTATTTGCCAAGAAAATTATTGAGGATCTTCATGTTCATCCTAGTTTATTTAGGTATTAAGTTTTTTAAAGTGGTGTCAGTAAAAACGTTAATTCAAATGTCTGATCAAGTATGATCTTCTTTTGGAGTTTGATCTTAAAAGTCAAGTATTTAAGAACGAAATTTTTTGTAGGGGTATTTTAAGTGTGCAATTTTTTTTTACTGTAAGTTCTGTTATTTTTAGAACATAGTAGAATGTACAAATATAATTAAGAATACATTTCTGGACATGTACTTACTCAAAACGTAGATCAAAGTTTAAATTGTATGTAAAGCAGAGTAAGGTGCTGTGTTTCTTTGATCCATATACTGATGAGGCAGATTAAATATTTCTTACTAGTTTTCTTGTAAAACGTTTTCTTTACCTCTTTAGCAATAGAACCTAATGAATGTGAAGATGATGATGCTTGTTCAGGAAATTCTGTTTGTAGACCAGATAAGGATGGAGTAAAGAAATGTGTAGGTAGGTATAACAAATCAGTAAGAGTAAATTGTGCCTAATACCAATGGTTTACACTCTTGAGAATTTTCACCATGGAAAGAAAAATTACATTTAACAGAAAAGAGTTTGTATTAACCTGATATTTCTCATTTAGGATCTGTAGTTGTCAAAAGAGAGTGGATTGAATTTCAAAATTAATAGAGTACATAAAATCAACTGTTGTAGCTTCATTACCTGAAATACATCAACCCCCACTATCCAATTTTTTTCACCAAGTATTTCCACTTTGTTTCTATGTGTTTTAGGATGTATGATAATTATTGTGTGTGTGTGTTCAGTTTCAATTTTTCATAAACTTTTGTCTAATATTAGCATACTTCTTTATCAGATAGTTTCTTAGAAGCTCAAAAAAATGTATAATTAACACACTTCAAATTCTCTTGTAACCTTATTTAGTTAATGTGCATCTGATGTTTTATAGTATGAAGATCTGTTGAATAATATACTATCAATTTGAATCCTGGATCTGATTTGCAATAGGATTATTCCTCAAATCTACAATGCACACATATGTTTCTCTTTACATTTCAGTGTAAATGTATGATGTTCCTACTTACTTTAGTGGTCATTACAAACCTGGTTGATGAAATATGTCAAATTCTAAATCACACAAACATGTTACAAAGAAAAATTGACTAATACACAGTTTATATACTAAAGCACCAAATTAGAGGCAACTGAATATAATTTTACAGTTTTAGACCTAGGTCAGTGGAATGCTAACACATTTATATAATCTAAACTATAAGATAAGGCATTGTCCTGTTACCCATAAATTCATTGAATTGGATAGTTTTCTTGGGAAGGATACTTGCACAAAGACATAATAAATATTTAGTACTTGAACAATGAACATATGTTGATCAAACAGTGCATTAACCTTGTTATTCATGTACTTAAGCTCTTAAACAGTTGTACACTTACCATAATCCAAAAAATACATTAAAGTTAAATAATTACAAAATTTAATTATTCCTATAATTATAAAGTGATCACTCTAGGTTTTGAGACCACAATGTTGCACTTTCTAATCCTGTAATAAACGCTTGGTAGATCAGCAATAACTTTATGGACTTACAATGTTAAAATCATGTATTGAATTCCTTGCAGTGGGTAAAGCACAGGTATTCCGTTCTGAGCTTTGAACTAAAAATACAACTAAAACAACAAAATAATTATGTAATCAAATGAGTCCAGCTCAGAAATTATCCAAATGCCATTGTGTATTTATTTTTACTAATAGTAATCAAAACTTTATAAAAGCAATGAAACAATAGCAGGTTTATCGAACTTGATAACAGGAAAATCTTACACACACATTTCTTATAACAACCTCTGTTTGTTTGTTTTTGGTTTTTTTTACTATTGAAGATGAAGGGAAAAATAATCACTTCTTATCTAAAGTAATTTGGTGATAGGTCAGCAATTTGTTCAGTCTTACAACACAAAAATCTAGGAATAAATGATAAAGCAGTATTTTAAATGTTGTTTTTGTATTTTTGATATACTTTTGTTTTCCAGAATCATTAATGTTGGTATTTTTAATGTTACTGTATATGAGATCACTTTTATTTTTTTGAACCAACTTAGATAGCTGTGAAGGAGTTGTTTGTGGTCCTAATGCACATTGTACAAGTAATACATGCTACTGTGATGAACTAATGACTGGTGATCCCAATGATATACTCATCGGATGTACTCGTAAGTTTTTGCTTATATTTTTCTTTGTGTGAGACAGTATACATTTTATTGTTTTGTTAGTTTCGAGCAATGGCACACATTGTTTTTGTCACTATTTC